TGCATGAATTGCCTTGCGACTTCCCTCTCTCCGCGCAGTTGTCCTTGTTTGTGTGTGTGTTGTGTGTATCTATTGAGCTGTTTACAGCGCTTGATTTTCATTACTTGCATGGTTCTCTTGTAATATAGGTGTAACCAGGCAAAAAATGTGATTGTTTGAACCCTGTTTGGGAGCTTCTTTCTTTCAGTCAAACTTGCATAACTTCCTTTAAGGGAGGAAAATATGTAACCCCGACCTGATGGAGTGTTACTTCAAGTGCTGCCTACTGCATTTTGGCTCTGTTGTAAGATAGATCTGAGCCATGTGTCCAGAGAGGTCAAATTCTGCTTCCGAGCTGATGTGAAGTCAGGCACCATGGACACCATAAGGAAAGAATACAAAGCAGGGGAGCAGGCAAGATTCATGGTCAATGCCACAATACTACATTATATTTTATATATATATATATATATAAATATATATGTATTTTTTCAGACCTATTAAGTTGTTTAAAAAAAATAGGCCTACATATGACACCAACATGACTACAGGCATATTTCTAAGAACGTGTGTGTTTTAGACTACAATAAAATTAGTTTTTTTTTTTTTTTCAACTGCTTTATCAAGGATATTGACCCTACATACGAATCTTTTACTTATATTCACTCTGATAAATTGATTAGTTTTCAAATAATATTGATTTTTAAATGAATTCCACACAAAAGGATCTTTAAGAAATGTTGAGATATTCTACAGTTGCAGTGAAACCTTCTGAGGTAACTGCCATAGTGAAGGCAGTACAGTAATGTCTCTGAAATGTAATGGCGGGGTGATGTCTTGGGAAAAGACGTTAAGAGTTCTTGGCTCAGTGCCTCTGCATTCATATCCAATCCCCTGTAGCTCTCTTTCCTTTAACTCTCTTTATTTAAGTAGCTCAAAAGATAGTTTCCCTGAGCGCCTCGCAGTCCCAGGGATCCAAAGCAGCAGTTTGGTTCTAGTCTGGTTTTCAATCCGCTCCATGCTAAAGACCTTCTGTCGACCCATTACCATTTATCAAGACCAGTTATTGCTAGAGCTCAAAGCTGTCCTCATTCTCTCAAACCATGTATCTATGTACTGTTAATTTAATATTCATTTAAATGTTTACTAAAAACACACAAAAAATATGCAATCCATATTTAAAGGTCAAACTACACTTAACAAGATGTCTCCATGTTGTGTATATAAAAAAAAAGATTTTAACTATTCAGAGCATGCAACTGACCTTTGACCTCTCAGCTGCAGTCAGATATGTATTGGTTTTCTTTTTTTCTTTTTTGCATCTGTATACAATTATATTGTAGAGAGGTGCTCTAATTTGAAATTTTCATATAAATACGTAATTGTGGTGCTGACAGACATTAAAAAAGTTTTATGTGAAATACTTATATTATATATTTATGATGTCTCGGGGCATTGCTCAAGAATTAAGTATAAAAGCCCTTTTTGGTTTTAAAACTATTTAGATTTCAGAAGCTATTTAGATGATGTGCATAAGGTAAATATAGTTGGCAGATTGGCATTGAAGGGTATACAGGTGTTTTAATATTCTGTGCAAAACAAATCCATGTCACCAAGCTAACTGAGAATCATGTAAAATTAATAAAGCCTCCTATCAAAGAAGACATCCAGTAACTTCAGAGTGTTTTGCTTAAATTCACGTTGAGCGCTGTGAATTGGCAGTTGGTGGTTACAGTATACACAGACCTCATGTGATTTACCTTCATAAATATGTGTTTTAGTTACTTATTTTTCACCTTCTTTCATTCAACAGTTTGGTTTCTGATTTATTTAGACCAGTCTATAAATGAGTATCATCATTTGTGAAACGCAAGGCTGATTGTGTCACTTTTTAGCCATTCTTATGGACTGAAGGTCCTCACTCCACTCTGTTATCCAGCTCTATGAGAATTGTGTGTCGTGTTTGCACCCACAAAAAGAAGAGTGCCTGGAAGAAAGAGAGAGTGTCGGAGCACTTTGTCAGGAAATTGAAAAAGCAACAAGAGAAAGAAGAGGCTACAATTGACTTCAGTGCTCTCCACTCACCCTTTCGTTCAAAAAGAGGCTGTCTGACCTAAATTTATTTTACCTCATCTGCCTAGATGTTTGTTTAGCCTTCTGGGCAAACACTTAGAGAAATGTATGAAGCTGAAAAAAGAGGAATATATGTGAATATATCACATTTTAGCAGGAGAAGAGTAAACTGAAAGCATGAGTAGACGTCTAGTGCCCTCTAGTGGCTCTCCGAGTCATTATTCTTCCACCAGTGAACTGCGCAGATTTTCCTAAGCCATCTTTGAAAGTTATTACCGGACAGTAAATCCACAGCATGTAAATCAAAACTGATTTGACGTCAACATAAAAGCTGCAGAAAACTGAAAAGCTGTGCTGGGAAAGAGGGGTCAAACTTCACCGCCACAGAGTTGCTACGATGACTCTGGCACGGCGTATTTTGTGAAAACGGGCTGTTTTTGAATGTTTCTTCAGGAAACTGTAAGCAGCAGCGATTCAGTTGCTGGTTTAAGTCTAAACCCGGGTTAAACATTTGACTGTGCTCCTGAAGGCTATATATATATACAGATTGTATTTCTATATTTCCCCTCCCCCTCTTCCTTGCCTCAGAGTTATGAGACAAGCCTCGAGGGTTCTCAGCAGCAAGCTTATTAAAGGCTTTATCCGTTTCCAGGATTTGCAGAGGATTGTGGCACGGACATTGTTTGTACACAAGTGTTGCTCTGGGAAATAATGTTAATTTCTCTTATACTCACAGAAGAAATGAGACGAATTAGACCCTGGTGTACCTACAGCCTTTTTTGAGCCTTGATGATCCTTCAGCATTAAGTCTTTTCTGACACTGGGATCTAAATCTGAGTTGATCTATGAATGATTAGTGGAACGTAGGAGATCAGGGTCAAGTCCTTTGACCTCCGCCTCAGCTTTCGGATGAATCGAGAGCATGGGAAATGATCCCAGTGCACAGGAAGTGCAAACAGATTTTGGCTGTGTTGATACATGGGACTCTTTCCAGTAAATTCTGTCCATGCTGCTGAAAACTCTATATACAGCAGATCTGTTCCAAAACCAAGTGAGTTGCCTTCTAAGGCAGCTTCCTAATGTCATAAGCGACAGATTTGGAATTGCAAAGTACATTGGCAAGAACACCTTGGTGTGTCACATAACCGCCAATTGTCACACAAAGCACATGGGAGACTCACAGTTGATTTAAATAGTTTGATATTAGTATGTTGCAAAGCTAACAGTGCAGTACTAACATAACCACGCAAAAAAGCCTAGCCTAGACAAATATCTTCTTTTTTTTTTTTTATCAATATGTTTTAGTATTTAATCAAATATTTGAATCAAAAACTTTTTTCTCACATCAGCCATCTTGGATAAAACTGGTATTACCTTAACGTTACCTTATAATTTAGACTTGGATTACCATTATTACTAGCTGGAACTGCGTTTTCTTTCTCAACAGTTTGTGTTCAACCGCAAAGAATTTGAAGAAAATAACAATCTTTGGTAGTCAGCTGTCCACATCTGGCCTAAACCAGCCAAAGTACCAGTCCGAAAACACTCGTGAAATGATCAATATCAACAAAATCCCAGAAAATAGAGATATCATTCTTTGTAAATATCGCACTCCCTTAGAGTGAGCAGCTATCCAAGATCATACCCACAGGACTGTCAGCTCTAATCAGCAGGGCTCATTGGCGCAGAAAACGTGATGGCTTACAGTGTTGCCACAAATGCACATAGGCATGGAAGTCTGTGTTTGAAAACAGTATTGAGTGTCTGTGCCAAAGAGACAGGCAGCCAAAGAGGACAGCTGTAGCCTGGAGTACTCACACATACTGAGATGTGTCTGGGCCACCAAATCCCAAATGGAGAAATCCAGGAAATATTTGTGCATCATAGCCTCTCATGCCAAGATTGTCTCACACATGCTTTCAAAGAGATCCTAAGTCATCCTATAATTGATCACACACAAATGATTTCACCATCCTTTGCTGTAATTGCTTAGCTAGAGGGGAGGGAGGGGGATAGAAGATTCTTTTATATGAAATATCGAAATAACAAATCCAGGGCTCGGGGTGGACATTAAGAAGAGGAATGTGAGCGAAAAGTCATCAGCTGGCCCGCGGCCCAGCATCCGTGGCAGAGGAAAAGCCTGCAGTCATCAGAAAGTGGACGTATTTACTGCTGCGCCTCTCGCAGAACGAAAGCAAGAGTGAAAAATGACTTTGTTTGTGAATCAGAGAGTAGCTAATCAGATCTTACTCTCATTTCATTGCTCGCTATATATACTTTATATCAGAACCTCCCCCATTTTCCCTGAGGCATTGAGGACAGAGATACACTTGTGACAACCATTTGGATGCTCACATTATCCTCCAGAAACCCATTAAATGTTGATAGATTATGGATTTAAAGGGTCTGTTCACCCAAAATGTTGTGCCATTCTAAAACTGTTTGACTTTGTTTCTTGCAAGGAATTCAATAGTTGTTATCTATCAGAATGCCTAAGCTGCTCTTTTAGATAAAGTAAAAGTTAAAGGGATAGTTCACCCAAAAGGGAAAATTCTGAAGTGCTATATAAAAGATACAGAGCACTCAAGTTCACTAAAAAAAATGTCAATTCTGTCATCATTCACTCTCATGTTGTTCCGAACCTGTATGATTTTCTTTACATTTCACATTTATGCATTTGGACGAAGCAAGGTGTGAGTGAGTGTGCTTAAGTTTGTGAGATGGTTCTTCATGCAAAAGAATGGAAAGTTGCTTTTTCCTCCCAGTGATCTATTTTGTATCACTGTAAATCAGCATTTGTTAAAGGTTATTACGACTGCCAAGCCACGTCTCTCAATATCAGAGCTTGAATTATATGCTGACATCCATCTATCTCAGTTTTATTTTTTCACAGTTTCCTTTGGCTGAGCTTGTACGTTATGTAAGGTCTTTATTGTGTTTGATTTTAGAACACCCTGGAGACCTGCAACATATGTTGTAAGCCCATAATGGAGCGTATCCTGCGGGCGACTGGGAAGGCCTATCATCCCCAGTGCTTCACCTGTGTGGTCTGCCATCGGAGTCTGGACGGTGTTCCCTTCACCGTGGACGCTGCCAACCACATCCACTGCATCGAAGACTTCCACAAGTAAGACCAGACACACAAATATGCTTGATTCTTTCTGAATACTACATTCAGGCAGGACCAATGTAAAGGCATGGGATATTCCTTCCTTTACATATATATTTTTTCGTCATCTTAGTGTGTGACTATAAATCTTCATCAGGGTTCAAACATCCCATTCAAAACCATTTATCATCTTATTTGCAGGTAATTTATGTATTTTCAATATAATGTTCAGTGATGTCACTATATCGAAAGCAGCTTTTTTGTATGTATCAAGGAACTGAAAGGTTTCAGAGGGAATCTGTGATTATGAGAATGTGATCACAACAGAAATGCTATTGTGTCGAGGAACAGTTGTGCCTTACTGTACTCATTGTTACTACTGTGGTTTAATTAGGCCACCATCTGCTGAACTTCCTCCATTTTGCTGTTTGTTGACAAAACCCAATGAAGAAGTTGAATCACCTGACTGTTTTGCTTGGTGTACACATCCTCACCCTCTCTCTCTCTCTCTCTCTCTGTTATCTCTGTTCCTGTCCTATGTTCTGAAATTGCTGAACACACTAATATATTGTGGACCTTTCTAAAAAAAAATTGTGTTTTTAAAATCAGTTCAACTGGATAGTAATATTAGTTTATTGATGGCTGATGGCCTTTCCATTTGAATTAGAGTAATAATTTATACACCGCTTTCCAATATCTAAATGGGATTGAAATGTACAATGTATTGATTTATTTTTTAAAGAATGACTCCAAAAATGAAAATTGTCATAATTTACTCGCTCTAAGGTCATCCCAAACCTGAGTCTCTATTCACTAATAATCTCTACATCAGACTTAGCTTTCCTGTACTACTACTTTTATGGTGTTGTTTTTTGTTGTAAAAAGTTTTTTTTTTTTTTTACGTTTCAATGACATAGTTAAAAACTGTTATGTTCAATATAAGAAATTACAGTGAGTATTTGAACACCCTGCTATTTTGCAACTTCTCCCTTATGATACAGCTGCAAATAAGTATTTGAACACCTAAGAAAATCAATGTTAATATTTGGTACAGTAGCCTTTTTTAGCAAATAAAGAGGTCAAATGTTTCCTGTAGTTTTTCATCAGGTTTGCACACACTTCAGGAGGGATTTTGGCCCACTCCTCCTCACAGATCTTCTCTAGATCAGTCAGGTTTCTGGGCTGTCGCTGAGAAACACGGAGTTTGAGCTCCCTCCAAAGATGCTCTATTGGGTTTTGGTCTGAAGACTGGCTAGGCCACGCCAGACCCTTGATATGCTTCTTACAGAGCCACTCCTTGGTTATCCTGGCTGTGTGCTTCTCGGGTCATTGTCATGTTGGAAGACCCAGCCTCGACCCATCTTCAATGCTCTAATTTCCAATCTCACAATACATGGCCCCGGCCATCCTCCCCTTAATACAGTGCAGTCGCCCTGTCCCATGTGCAGAAAAACTCCCCCAAAGCATGATGATACCACCCCCATGTTTCACAGTAGGGATGGTGTTCTTAGGATGGTACTCATCATTCTTCTTCCTCCAAACACGGTTAGTGGAATTATGACCAAAAAGTTATATTTTGGTCTCATCTGACCACATTATTTTCTCCCATGACTCCTCTGGATCATCCAAATAGTCATTGGCAAACTGAAGACGGGCCTTGACATGTGCTGGTTTAAGCTTGGGAACATTCTGTGCCATGCATGATTTCAAACCATGACGTCTTAGTGTATTACCAACAGTAACCTTGGAAACGGTGGTTCCAGCTCTTTTCAGGTCATTGACCAGCTCCTCTCGTGTAGTTCTCGGCTGATTTCTCACCTTTCTTAGAGACCCCACGAGGTGAGATCTTGCATGGAGCCTCAGTCCAAGGGAGATTGACAGTCATGTTTAGCTTCCTCCATTTTCTAATGGTTGCTCCAACAGTGGACCCTTTTTCACCAAGCTGCTTGGCAATTTCCCCGTAGCTCTTTCCAGCCCTGTGGAGGTGTGCAATTTAGTCTCTAGTGTTTTTGAACAGCTCTTTGGTCTTGGCCATGTTAGTAGTTGGGTTTTTACTGATTGAATGTGATGGGCAGGTGTCTTTATGCAGTTCACAACCTCAAATATGTCCGTCTAATTTAGGATAATAAATGGAGTGGAGGTGGACATTTTAAAGGCAGACTAACAGGTCTTTGAGGGTCAGAGTTCTAGCTGATAGACAGGTGTTCAAATACTTATTTGCAGCTGTATCATACAAATAAATTGTTAAAAAATCATGTATTGTTATTTCTGGATTTTTTTTTTTTTTTTTTTTTTTTTTTAGATTATGTCTCTCACAGTGGACGTGCACCTACGATGAAAATTTCAGACCCCTCCATGACTTCTTACTGGGAGAACTTGCAAAATAGCAGGGTGTTCAAATACTTATTTTCCTCACTGTAAGTCACACATGTTTATGGGTGTGTAAACAATGAAAAAATGTTTGTTTGTGGTAATTTTAGAGTAATAGTTATTGCTGGTTCATGGGAAAGGAAAGAATGGGAATGGGAAAGAAAGGTGATTTAAGCAATTTCGGGGTGGTAATAGCGCAGTGGATAAGACACATGCCTTTGGTGTGAGAGACTCGGATTCGAATCAACTGCGAGACACCAATGTGTCCCTGAGCAAGACACTTAACCCCTAGTTGCTACAGATGCGACCTCTGACATACAGTATATAGCAATTGTAAGTCGCTTTAGATAAAAGTGTCAGCTAAATGAGTAAATGTAAATGTAAATTTTGAGCGTGGCATGGTTGTTGGTGCCAGACAGGCTGGTCTGAGTATTTCACAATCTGCTCAGTTTATGGGATTTTCACGCACAACCATTTCTTGGGTTTACAAAGAATGGTGTAAAAGGGAAAAACATCCAGTATGTGGCAGTCCTGTGGGCAAAAATGCCTTGTTGATGCTAGAGGTCAGAGGAGAATGGGCCGACTGATTCAAGCTGATAGAAGAGCAACTTTGTCTCAAATAACCACTTGTTACAACCGAGGTATGCAAAGAAGCATTTGTGAAGCCACAACACGCACAACCTTGAGGTGGATGGGCTACAACAGCAGAAGATCCCAGGTACCACTCATCTCCACTACAAAAAGGAAAAAGAGGCTATAATTTGCAAGAGCTCACCAAAATTGGACAGTTGAAGACTGGAAAAATGTTGCCTGGTCTGATGAGTCTCGATTTATGTTGATAGATTCAGATGGTAGAGTCAGAATTTGGGAGAACATGGATCCATCATGCCTTGTTACCACTGTGCAGGCTGGTGGTGGTGGTTTAATGGTGTAGGGGATGTTTTCTTGGCACACAGTTGGCCCCTTAGTGCCAATTGGGCATCGTTTAAATGCCACGGCCTACCTGAGCATTGTTTCTGACCATGTCCAGCCCTTTATGTCCACCATGTATCCATCCTCTGATGGCAACTTCTAGCAGGATAATGCACCATGTCACAAAGCTTGAATCATTTGAAACTGGTTTCTTGAACATGACAATTAGTTCACTGCACTAAAATGGCCCCCACAGTCAGCAATAGAGCATCTTTGGGATGTGGTGGAACGGGAGCTTCGTGCCCTGGATCTGCATCCCACAAATCTCCATCAACTGCAAAATAATTTCCTATCAATATGGGCCAACATTTCTGAAGAATGCTTTCAGCACCTTGTTGAATCAATGCCACGTAGAATTAAGGCAGTTCTGAGGGCGAGGGTCAAACACAATATTAGGATAGTGTTCCTAACATTTTATTCAGGATTGTTCTTTTTTGATGAATAGAATGTTCAAAAGAGTATTGTTCATTTGAAATATTTTTTTTCTAACACTGTAAATGCCTTTACTTTCACTTTTGGTCAATTGAATGTGTCCTTGTTGAATAAAAGTATTAATCTTACTGACCCCAAAATTTTGAACGGTAGAGTGTTAAGCATTTTTTTTATCAAATTAATTTATATAAAAAGTCATAACAGGCAAACTTTGGGCAACTCTGTCCTCAGGATTATTTTGTCGTAATCTCTCTTTCTCTAATTTCCCCCTCCTTTTTCCCAGAAAATTTGCCCCTCGTTGCTCTGTGTGTAACGAGCCCATAATGCCATCACCTGGACAGGAGGAGACTGTGCGTATTGTGGCTTTAGACCGTGACTTCCATGTGCAGTGCTATCGTTGTGAGGCGAGTAAAAAGCACTTTGGTGTGGCTACAAATTGATAAATAATTTTGTAAACAGAATTGTCAAACTATTTTGTGTTTGTGCTCAACATAGGACTGTGGCTGCCTTCTCTCTGAGGGAGACAACCAGGGTTGCTACCCTCTGGATGGCCATGTTCTCTGCAAAAACTGCAACACCAGTCGCATCCAAGCCCTCACTGCCAAGGCTACAACTGACCTCTGAGTCACACACACATGTACATGCAGGTCCTTAATATCACTGCATTCTAAAATCTGAGAAACACCATATCCTGTCACATCACTGCACACAAATATTTATACCCAGACAAATGCACATGTACACATAAAGCTGTCATTCCACTTAGGGGCCATGACTTGTCTGGTCACTCATGCACCACACACTGTGCCTTTTATTAAAATTGCACTCATTTATTCTGCCCAACCCTTTTTATTAGCAGATATGTATTCATAAATGCAGGGTTGCCAACTTTGGGACTTTGGCTGGAGTGAGACTGTACAATTTCAGTGCACCCACAGAGACAAGTTTTGGTAACACTAACCCTAATTTTAAAAATGCCAGTCCTTGTTTATCAGTACCCTGATTTATGCAACAACAACAAAAAATAGTATGAATTCATATATATATATATATATATTTTTTTTCAAAATGTACAATTAATTTAATGATTGCACTATAAAAGAATAAAGATAGAGGTGGTTAAATAACAAATAACAAACATGTAAAACAACAACATCTAAACAACAAGAAATCTCAAAACAAAAGTGACATAGTTACTCCACCTCCCCAGAAAACCACAACACACAATTTTCACAAATTAGGCCTGTTATATGTCACAGTGGTACTTGCTTTACTGCCTCTGCAAGAGGTTTGTATCTGAAGCAGGGTTCGATCCATTAATGAACTATCCGTTCATTGCGAGTCACGTGACAAATGAACGAAAGACTCGGAAGGTAAAGTAGTTATTTATGTTCCCTGTAATTTATTTTGACTGCATTATAAGGATTTCTTAATTCAGAATAGGATAAAGACTGCGTAGTTGGATGTGTTCGGGGAATTTGACTGTTAAAAGTATAACATTTAAAGCCCTTTAAATGAACAAGATCAAACAATCGAGTCAGTAAAATGATCCAAACTTCCCACAGTATGCCATCAAGTGACTGTCTGTGGTGTCAATCTTGTTTAGGCCAATAACTGAAAAGGTTCGCTCAGCATCTGCATTTGAGTGTGGCAGGCTCAACACAATCTGGACCAATTTTGATAATTTGGGGGTTTTAAAAATGCCACTTAATTGCCCGATTTGCCAAAACGTAATTTGTACCATGAGTCTATTTTTATTGAGCAATTAGCTAGCCCACAAAACGCACGTCCGACAACGTTTGCAACTATAGTTGAAGTCTGTACTCTCGGCACACAGACTGATGAGGCAAGGCTAAAAAAAAAAGAATTTTGGCGTGACATTTCTTGCGTGCTTGTGAAAGCGTGAGATTGATGCTGAAAGTGTGAGTGTCACGCCAGATGCGTAAGAGTTGGCAACCCTGATAAATGTCCGCTACAGCTGCTTATATGCACCTAAACAAAGTAGGCCTCAACATATAGACAAGACTGTTAGATTCTAACTCAGATGTTCACAGAGCTGCAAAACAAAAAGACCTGTTCATTTGGGAAGTGGGATGTTGAAGAAAAAAAAAACCCTCATAGAACATCATAGAATCTACCTCTAAAAAGGGAACATGCTCTCTGATCGCTAGGCATCATATTACTACACTTTCAAATAGAGCTACTAGTTATACATGAAGTATAAAAATACTTAAATACAAAAATACTTGGAAGTTGTAATTGCCCATCATTCAAACATGGCTATGTAGCAAATAAACCTGAAAACTTGGAGATTTCGTGTTCACCAAGATACACAAGATATGACGGTATATATATATGTATATATATAGTACGACCTGGACCTTGACTCCTGCTTCGTCAGCATGTTTTTGAGTGTGTTTGTGAATGCATAGCCTCTCGATTTACATTTCTGAACTCCTTTGAGATGAAAGTTACCAAAGAGCTACATTTACTTTCTCTGGGACAGCGTGTATGTATATTATTGTATGCTTTTGAAATCTAATGAGAAGAGTATTTTATCCTTTAAGGACTGTGAATGGCCTTCAGTAGCTCAGAAGCATAAATACATTGTGGTTCTTCAGTGAGGTTTCCTGTTTCTTCCTCAGTGTACCGCTTTAATTCAAGTGAATTTAGTAAGAAATATATTGCGCTTGGAATTTTGTAGTGGTTTGGTGTTATTTTTCTTCTAATTGCGCTCAGTTATTGCATTTATTTGTATATCATGAGTGAAACATGGTGAAAGGGTATAGGGATCAAATGTATGTATCTTTAGATATGCACAGTGAATTGTGCAATAATGTCATGGCAGAATGAGAACTATTTGCTATTAATTTAAAATTCTCAGAGGAAAAGCTGTCAGATTAGGTTTAAAGTGTGACAATCAGGGCTGAAAGGATGTTTTATTTTATATAATTTGATCTAAAGGGCTGATGAGACACAGCCCAATAATTTTAAATATCCTTAAATTGTGAATTTGTTGTAGTATTAGTTCCATAAGATAGAGATAGACACATAAGTATTATTAAAAATAGGAAACCATTTAGGATTTTTTTTTTTAATTTGTGGATGATATCATTATGCAAATTTCTTCTTTGTTTTTGCATCGACACTTTACCAAGAAGAATATGCAGACGTTTTTTTTTTTTTTTTTTTTAAAGAGAGAAAGTGTTCGAGCTGTTCTTAAAGCTACAGTGCACACAGTTTAGGAAAATCTGAAATTATGTATGTATATCTACAGAGTGTCATAATAAATGTTGAGGTTTAGAGAGTTAACACCTCAGGAAATTCCCAGTCGTATCAGTGTGCTGCAGTGATGCCCCAGGGAACTTCCTCTCTGGTTGAAGCGTAAATTCAGATGTGAAAGTCATGATATATATGCAAACCGGATATAAATACCTGGTTATTTGCTCCTCTTGATTTATTATGGCAGTTTGTGGAGTTTTTCAGTATGTAAAATAAAATTTGCTGAAGCTTTAAGCAATAAGAGCTTCATCCGTGCTTTAATCTCTACCTCCTTTGCTTAGTACCTTCTCTATTTGTGCCTTTTCTAGCCTGTGTGAAACTGAGGTGGTGTTGTTCGAGCACAAACACTGTGGCTTATGCTGTGTGTTGAGGGATATGATTTTTGAATGCTCTTTTTTTTTCCCTCCTGTTCACACTACCTAGAGGTTATGCATGTTTGCATCTTGAACTGAACATCTTGATCTTTATTTCCAGTTTTTATATAGAAAGACCAAATATTTTAAAACTTAGAAATTAAGTGTATAATGTCTTTAAAAACAATAAGAGTGTTATTGAAAAGAGAATTATTACTGTATTACTTGGCACAATTCTTTTGCTTTACTACTTAAACCCATCTCAAGTTCTTTTATTCAAATAGATTTGATTTGAATTAAAGTTTCATCTTTCAAGCATTTATTGCGCATTTCAGTTGTTCAAGATAATTTGTTCTTTTCAAGTAACATTCAAAATACATTATACTACATTTTCCATTTGTGACCATTAGCAATAACTTGATTATATGAAACTGTTGTCGCAACAAATGCTTAATACCAGCATTCAAGTGCCTTGAAATACATGATATAGGACTGGTGGTAAGAATATTTGAGCTGTCATCAATAGGACAGTCTGATGTGTTTTTCTTTTCCTTCATTAAGAAATAATAACGTAAAAGGACCTAATCTGTGCTCTAGTGACATTCTAAGTATATACTTGGATTCTGTTCTTACACTCTGATGTTTTTCACATAGAGCTTCTTCTATAATTAATAAACCTTTTTGAAAAAACTCCATAGTGGTTATTTTTCTTTTCTGCTGTCAGTTATTTTATTTGTGTGTGCCCTAGTGAAAAAAAAATAGTATACTGAAGTACAATTTATTTGTATAAGTATAACTAAATGTATTTGTGGCACATTATACATAGTATACTTAAAGTCTGTTAAATTGGAACAACTAATTTTATACCTAATGCATTTTAGTTGTCCAAAAGCAGTGCTGAAGTTCAACTAAAGTTGTATTAAATTTCTTTGTTTGTGCAATAAAGTGGAACTATCTAAGTATACTTATGTGCACTTTAAATATCTACTTTTCTATTTAAGTTTTGAAATGCAGAATTCACTCAGCATACACTTCAATTGTATTTTGGTGACATTACAATTGCAATTACACTTAATGTTGAAAAAAAAAACAGGTCATACATAAAACATTGGGTAACACTTTATTTTACAGTGTCCGTGATACAGAGTAATTACTCAGTAGTAGACATTGTGATAACATGTAAAAAATGTAATTAACATATAACTAAGTTATGGAACAGCCTGTACTTACAGATTGTAATTACACTCTTGTAATCGGCAGCTATTGTTACACATATGTAACAGGCCGAGTCGGTTACATGTTACCGACTTGGTATGTAACAAGTACTTAAATATGTTACTAAGGTAAAAAGCCTGCAGTTACACATGGTCATTTTGTTCCTTCTAGAATAAAGTGTATCTAGGTTGTACTTATGTGCACTTCATGTGTATCTACATACCTTATCCATCTGAATTAACCCTCTAGTTTACAGCTTAAATACATGCAGTAGCTTCTTAATTGCATTAAATTTACAAAATATTACACAGGTACAAGCTGCGTAAAATAAAGTGAATGAAGATTGTACTTAAGTGTAATTAATGTGTTCCTACAAATCCATATGTACTTTGGTTTGAATTAGGCCTAACTCCCTCGTTCACAGCTTAAATGCATGCGGTAGCTTCCTAATTACATTGCAATTACATAATATTACACAGGGATAAGCTAAGTAAAATAAAGTGTATCAACATTGTACTTAAGTGTTCTACATGTATATCTACAAACCTTATACATATGTACTTTAGTTTGAATTAGGCCTAATTCCCTCGTTCAGAGCTTAAATGCATGCGGTAGCTTCCTAGTTACATTGCAATAACATAATATTACACAGGTATGAGCTACGTAGAATAAAGTGTATCAAGATTGTACTACATACCTTATACACATGAAATACACTTAAATAGAATCTTGGTACACTATTTTAGAATGTACAAAATGACCATGTGTAACTGCAGGCTTGTTTCATAGTTACATAGTACTTGTTACATTGAGTAGTACAAAGTACTTTCTTATATAATTACATTGTACCAAGTTGGAAACACGTATGTAACCTACTCGGCCTGTTACATATGTGTAACTGTATCTGCCTATTACATGAGTGTGATTACAATCTGTAGGTTGTTCCATAACTTAGTTACATGTTAATTACATTTTGTTACATGTTATTACAACGTCTACTACTATGTAATTAATTAATTACTCTCTATCACGGACACTGTAAAATATAGTGTTACTAATTATTGCAATGGCATTCAAGGTAAACTTGAAGTGCACCAATGGTACCAATATGGTGTGCTTCAAATACGAGTAATCTTTAAAGTAATCTTTATAAATAACAGCACAGTTTAAGAATTTGCCTTTTACTGACATTTTACAGACACAACCCTATCAGTAACTCACTTATCTAATGAACATTAGTGAGACTGTGGGAACAGATTAGTGGTGGAACGGATCACAAAATTCACGGTTCGGATCATTTACGGTTCCCCTTTGTCAGATCACTACAACGTGAGTCAGAAGTGATTCTGACGAATTGGGATTGCTTGCAAGATCACTTGCGAGAGAGATCTACTTCGGGTGAAATAAAATGAGCCAATGCACATTGGCATGCGATAATTGCACCAGCTGCTGTAAATCTTTCACTTCGGAGCCAGACGGCGAATGCTGTTCCTGTCTCCTGTAAGATTTCTATGCGGTATTCATCGAGTCTTTGCAAGGAATCCTCTGTTTGTGGTGCTGGTGTGACGGCGCAAACAGCGGTTTTCACAGCTTTGTTGGTTCGGTGGGCTTGACACAAAGGGAGTGCTCACACAGGATTGCACTATTCCCTGTGTAGCCGCGCCTGTCCCCCTGTTTGTTTCAGCACCTCAGAGCACCTCTGAAAGAGCTAACACGATCTGTCTGCGTCTTTGTCAAGATGTCATTCAGATTGTGTGTTTCTTAATGTGGTCAATGTTTGACTCCAGCTGACGGGCATGATCGCTGCATCACATGCTTGGGCTATGGTGAAATGGTGCTCATGGATGACTCATGTTCTCATTGCGGGAACATTACCATCGCGGTGTTGCGGTCGAGACTCCGTTACATCGAAAGAGGTGGAGCCCCTTCACTTATTCCCCGATCTAGAGCTGCTTCTGCCTACTTTGCTTAATAGCCTTGGTGATCTGAGGATCTCAATGATAGGTAACCCGCCGAGCCAGTCTCCTTCGACCCCCTCACTCCTCTATAATGCTTCCCCCGGAGCCTCCAAGAGAGCGTGCCATGGGCCGTCCTCGGCGGCCCTAGTCGTTTCTTTTGGGGCTCCACCGGTTGATCAAATGTGAGTTGCTGCATCAGAGGGTGAGCTAATGTCCTCTGAGGATGATGATTCAGTTGCGCTGCCTCTTTCGGGTGTGCCAGTGTTGTCCGAGTCAGACCAAGAGCTCACAGCTATGCTTTCTCGGGCCCCTGCAAGTGTCGGGCTCGGGTGAAACCCTCCACCATGTCCCGAACTTTCACGGCTAGATGCTGCTTCTGGCGAAGGACGTGATTGAGCCGGTTCCTCCAGCCGATATGAGGATAGGGTTCTACAGCCCCTACTGCATTGTACCCAAGAAAGGTGGTGGGTTACGGCCGATCTTGGACCTGTAAACCTTGAATCGGGCCCTGCACAAGCTCCCGTTCAAGATGCTCACGCAGAAACACATTTCCGAGTGTATCTGTCCCCAAGATTGTTTTGTAGTGATCGACCTGAAGGAGGCTTACTTTCATGTCTCGATTTTTCTTCGACGCAGACCGTTCCTGCGGTTTGCGTTCGAGGGACAGACATATCAGTGTAATGTCCCGCCCTTTGGGCTATCCCTGTCGCACCGCGTCTAACTATCTCAACGACTGGCTGATTCTGGCTCAGTCTCGGGATCAGTTTTGTGAACACAGAGACATGGTGCTCTGTCACATCAGCCTGTTGGGCCTTCAGCTCAACTGGGAAAAAAGCAAACTATCCCCTGTGCAGAGGATCTCTTATCTCAGTATGGAGTTTGACTTGGTCAACCAGACAGCACGACTCACAGAGGACTCAACTGCTTGACTACAATCAAGAGCAGGACAGCAGTCCCACTGAAACTTTTTCAGAGGCTCCTGGGGCATATGGCAGCCGCAGCCACAGTAACGCCGCTCCAGTTGCTTCATATGAGACCACTTCAACACTGGCTTCACGGTCGAGTCCCGAGATGGGTGCATGTCACCCCGCACTGCCTCCAAACCTTCAGTCCGTGGTCGGAACCCTTTGTTTCTACGGGCAGGTGTTCCTCGAGAACAAGTGTCCAGGCATGTTGTGGTCTTCACGGATGCCCTCTGCCACTGGCTTGGGGGCGACGTACAGTAGGTACTCAACCAGAATGCCTATTACGTAAAGGAACATTTAGCGAAAGCAAAATGTAATTATGTTAAAGTACAATGCATTCTCACCCCAAGGCGTCACCTTTGACCATGCTTCAATATTTGACGTTTTAGGCGCCCTTTAGCGTCACTTACATGACGCGATCCTACGGCGTCATCTAACTGACGCTAAAGGAAAGCGTCAGTTAGAGGACGCGGTTAGGTTTAGGTGTGGGGTGGGGGTAGGGTACACGCTATCCTAGGGCGTCATCCAACTGACGCTAAAGGGCGCCTAAAGCGTCAGAATTTGAAGCATGTCCAAATGCTTCCCAAGGCGGCAGTTAAGTGACGCCTTGGGGGTGAGAATGGGCTGTAAAGTAGCCTACATTTTAAATAGATTATAGCAAACTTTTAGAGCAGAACATTTTATTATTCAAATTAAAGTTAAAATAGGCCTATCTTACAGTCAGTATTGAGGAAACTACTGAGGAATGAGAAGATTGAAGAGCACTTCTCTTGCGTGTGCACGCACACTGACTGCTGAAAAACATAACTTCTGGGAATTTCTCAGTGAGAGAAGTTGTGGTCAAGTGGTAGAACTTAGGTTTCAATTATTTTGATGACACCGTTTCAAATCCTGAATAAACATGGTATTTATAAAATTACCATGCATTTCCATTGAACACTAAGGAATAAATCTCATCCAACAGACTGATTAAATGTATGTCTTCAAAAGCAGTTCTGTTAAAAAAAATAGAAAATAAAACTTAATGGGATTCCATATAAGCTGAAAGAATTTTTAAAAACATGGTTGTAACCTAAGCTAAGCAAGGTGTGGTTTCGAGATTTATTTGAATAATAATAATAATAATAATAAAAACTTAACTCACAAATTGCATGCACCCTGGTTGTAAGGATCCCTGTGGAATTTAATATTCAGCTAGACATTTTGTTCATGACAACAAATTAACATGTTTTTGAAGTTTATATTAAGTTTTTACATGCTTTATAAGTTTTGCTTGGAAAAAGCTCAAACCATTTTATTTCTTAAATGAATGAAATAAATATTTAGCAATAAACTTTTATGACAGAAACGCCACTACGTGTAGCTTAAATAATTTAATTTACTTCATAATCAACACTTAATGCTAATGTCTAGAATAGCGATTTAAGTGTGAATGTTAGAGAGCCTGTGGGGGGTTTGGAGGGACAGTTCAGTGCTGTATCGTGCATGCAGGACAATAGGTGTTAATGTTCCTCTTTCATATGGAGATGTTGGACTGTCAGTCTGATAAACA